CTATTATATTTCTGTTTAATTAATCATTCCGGCCTTTCAAAAACCAGATGGATCCTACAGAATGACTGTAAACTACCACAAGCTCAAAGACACCAAGTTTAATTTTGCAAAAGAGAAGTACAGCACATGTTAAGCCTCTTTGGGACCTAAAGGTAATGTATTACACATCTAGAAGTGCTTCTCTGGCCCATATAGCAAGTGACACAGAAGGCTGCCAGCTTTGAGTGGGGCCTAGAGCAGGAAAGGCTCTACAGCACACAGTCTTGGTACACACAGCCTTGTTGCTTAGATCATATGATCTGGCTGACTTTGGGGTGGAAGTGTCAGGGGTGGAAAAAATGAAGTGTGAGAGCATCCCTGGGATTTTGGAGCAAGGCCATTAAATCTGCAACAGAGAATTATACTACCTTTGAGAAACCACTCCTTGTGTTAGGCACCATAAACCTCATTTTGTCATTCTGCTCCAGTCCATTTACTAACCCACAAAATCACCAATTTTTGCTGTGGCCCAGAGCAAGAATAACTTTTAAACAGACCTGATCTGTCATGCACACTGTCTCTTGGGCCATATGACCTAGCATATCATATGGAGCTGACGTGTCTGTGCCAGATAGAAATGTTGTATGACACCCTTGGAAAGTCCCTGTGTGAGTCACAGTACAATCCATTAGGATTTGGAAGCTGTATTAGTCTGTTTTCATGCTGCTGATAAATATATACCAGAAACTGAGCAATTTACAAAAGAAAGAGGTTTAATGGACTTACAGTTCCATGTGGCTGGGGAGGCCTCACAATCATAGTGGAAGGCAAGAAGGACCAAGTCACGTCTTACATGGATGGCAGCAGGCAAACAGAGCTTGTGCAGGGCAACTCCCATTTTTAAAACCATCAGATCTTGTGAGACGTATTCACTATCATGAGTAGCACGAGAAAGACCGGCCCCATGATTCAATTACCTCCCACTGGGTCTCTCCCAAAACACGTGGGAATTGTGGAAGATACAATTCAAGATGAGATTTGGGTGGGGACACAGCCAAAGCATATCAGAAGCAAAGCAGTATCATCCTCTGCAGATAACTTTTCTTTAGAGAAGAAGTTTCTAGCTTGCTATGGAGCCAGTACCTTTTCTCTAATCCAGTCCTGCCCCTCAAAGGTAGTAACTATCCAGAATTGTAATGCCAAAGAAAAGGGAAGTTCCATAAATTAGATGGTATATTTAAGACCCCAGACAAGCAAGAAAATAAACTCCAGGAAAATTTTAAAATAAGCATAAATGATTATTGAAAATAATTCACTTTTTCAATAATCATGTTATATATTTCCTTGACCATATTATTCAGTTATTTTAGAATCCATGATTCATAACTTTTATATCTGAAAGGCCTGTGGGCCTGCTTCTATTGTCCACTTTTTTCTTCTGACTCTGGGTATACCTGGCAATTTTTGATTGAATGCCATTGTGCATAAGAAATTGTAGAAGCTCTAGATGAGCTTTAGTTTCTTGTTTGTTTAGTGACAGTGTCTTGCTCTGTTAGCCAGGCTGGAGTGCAGTGGCACAATCATGGTTCACTGCAGTCTTGAACTCCTGGGCTCAAACAATCCTCCCACCTCAGCCTCGCGAGTAGCTGGGAGTACAGGTGTGAGCCACCACACCTGGCTAGTTTTTTATTTATTGTAGAGACAAGGTCTCACTATGTTGTGAGGCTGGTTTCAAACTCCTCGCCTCAAGTAATTCTCCCACCTTGGCCTCCCAAAGTGCTGGGATTACAGGCATGAGCCACCATACACAGCCAAGCTTTAGTTTCTGAAGGTAATTATAGTAGGAACAAATTACTTGAATTCAGTTAGTGAGCTCATTCAAGGTGGGGTATCAATCCTAAGATCTGGTCTATGTTTACTCCTTCCTAATTCCTAGGTAAAGTCCTTCAGAGGTTCCAGCTGAAAGCCTGTGGTACTTAACAAGGCCCATCATCACCGGTGGAATCTGAACTTCAAGTTTGATTTCCTTGGCACATAATTTTCTACTAAAAGCTCTGCACCTGGCTGCTGTGAATTTCCAAATCTATCCCAAGCCATTTACCAGTTAGTATATTCCTTGTGGGGAAAAGTAGCTTGGTCTATTGGACGTATTTCTCTTCACTCCTCTTGTCACCAGGATCTTTCCATTCAAGTCTCATTGTCTTAGCCCAGGACTCCCTCAGGTATTATCAGCCAGCTGCAGTCTCTTGCTACATGGGTTTCTTCAATATGGCTGCTTACTTCATCAAAGCAGCAAGGAAAATCTCTCCAGTCTGCTAAGACAGTCTTATATAACATAATGTAGTCATGGGAGTGACATCCCATCACCTTTGCCCATATTCTATTGGCTAGCAGCAGTCTCAGTTCTGCCCACCTTCAGGGGAGGGATTATATAGGGCATTAATCATTGGGGGTCATCTAGGGTTTCTGCCTTAACTGCTAACAAAAGGACAGGGACAAGAGGGAGTACAGGCATTCAGGAGCACTCACAAATATCACAGTGAAAAGAGCTTTCTTCAGAAGTTGATTTTGTCTCATTACTTGAACACTTAAGCATTCCTTACATCTCTCACTTGTAAAATTTGTTAACTAGTAACTTATGTCACAGGATTTGGTGGTTATAGAATAAAAAGCGATTGAGATGCTTTTATCAGAAAATCACATACAGGTATTATTAAAATCATAGGATACTGTATTTCCAGCTACTTGGGAGGCTGAGCAGGACTGCTTGGGCCCAGGAATTCGAGACCAGCCTGAACAACATACTGAGAGCCCCTGCCTCCAAATATCATAGGACTCCCAGTCTCAAGATGCAAAGTATTGTTGACCCTGGAACATGGGATTATGGGTACTGATCCTCCAGCAGTAAAATATCTGCATATAGTTTATCACTCCCCCCAAATTTGACTACTAATAGCTTACTGTTGACCAGAAGCCTTACTGATTATGTATATAGTCCATTAACACATTTTGTGTATTATAAATGTATTCTATTTACTATTCATTCAGTGAAGTGGATCATAAGTTTTCATCCTCATCATCTTCATGTTGAATAGGATGAGGAGGAGAAAGAAGGGTTTATCTTGCTGTCTCAGTGGTGGCACATGTGGAAGAAAATCCACATAGAAGTGGACATACACAGTTCAAACCCATGTTGTTCAAGGGTCAACTATGTACACACTCAAAACTGTAAACTCAATCATATGGAAAACAAATAGGCAATATGTATACATATGTGAAAATGGGGTCATTTTAAGAAGAGAATGATGTTACATATTAAAGACAAAGCTGAGTGGCAAAATGGATGGGAAACGAAAATAAGCATGCATAAGATACACTTTAAACGATATACTTTATTGGTGATTTCTGGAGACTACATCCAAAAAAATTTTTACACATCAATAATCCCCACACTCAAATGCCAATCTACTTAATAATTTGGTGTATTTCTTTCCTAGCTTTTTCCCTCCACATTACACAGATGTACTAGCTTTTTGTTCCATGTGTTTATCTATACACACACATATACTCACCTATGAAATAGGTGAATACAAATTTATACTTATATAGATGAAATATGAATTTATACTCATATGTGCATATGACTTTACTCATCACAAAATTTTTATGTCAACCACCCAAAATGGCTGATATAATGGTTCATATACTTCCTATTTTTACAATATTAATCATGTGGTTATTGTTTTATAATATTTTTAACTTATGATTTACCATGAACATTTTCCCAAATTTGCCAGTAGTCTTAATTGGTGCCCATTATTTCACCTAATTGACATATCAATTTTTAATCAGCTGTCATTGGATATTAAATTGTCTTATTTTTTCACTACTTTAAATAATACTGCTGTTATGGAAGATACTCTGAAAATGTTAAATCTTATATTGCTTCACCATAAAATTATTACTCTTTCTTAAAACATGGAGAATTTTAAGTTCTAAGCACTGTTCCTAAGGAAAGTATGTAAAAGCTTACTTATGTGCCCTTTCTGTAATGGCTTTACATTTTCGCACTGAAGATATTGATGAATAATATATATGAGGTCTCCTGTTTGAGATCTTTGTTTCAGGGATCCTGATGACTCATCCTCTCTTACCCTATTTAAGGAAGCATTTTTTTTTTCTATTTGTTTAGGAAAATAATCTGGGAGTTTGCCCCACATAGGGTAGTTTATGCTTTATACTGTTCTTTAAAAAATGTCATACTCACCAGGCAAGGTGGCTCTCGCCTGTAATCGCAGCACTTTGGAAGGCTGAGGAGGGTGGATGACCTGAAGTCAGGAGTTCGAGACCAGCCTGCCCAACATGGCAAAACCAGGTCTCTACTAAAAAAAAAAAAACAAACAAAAAAAAATTAGCTGGGTGTGTTGGTGGATGCCTGTAATCCCAGCTACTTGGGAGGCTGAGGCAGGAGAATCACTTGAACCCACAGGGCAGAGGCTGCAGTGAGCCAAGATCGTGCCACTGTCCCTAAATAGTCATACTCTACTCCACAGTGAACATATCTTAAATTTATAATTGTTTGTTTGCCACCTCTATACCTTTTCCACAAAATGTTTGGTAAAGAATATGCTAAGTGTGGTGGCTCATATCTATAATCTGAGTGCTTTGGGAGGCAAAGGTGGGAGGATCAGTTGAGGCTAGGAGTTCACCAGCCTGGGCAGCATAGCAAGACCCTGTCTCTATTAATAAAAGAATATAGAGCATGATTCCTCTCATTTCTACTATGAGTTTATTTGTGTATTTATTTATTTGACAAGGTCTGGCTATAACGCCGAGGCGGGAGTGCAGTGGCACGATCTCAGTTCACTGCAACCTCTGCCTCCCGGGCTCAAGCCATCCTGCTACTTCAACCTCCCGAGTAGCTGGGACTGCAGGCATGCACTACCACACTCAGATAACTTTTGTGTTTTTTGTAGAGACAGAGTTTTGCCATGTTGCCCAGGCTGGTCTCAAACTTGTAGCTCAAGTGATCTGCCCACCTCAGCCTCCCAAAAGTGCTAGGATTACAGGTGTGAGCTACCTACCACACCTGGCTACCATGGTTTTATAAGCTCACTAAATTCTTAGTTTTTCTCAGCATAAATACTCTGATAAACAGTGCCATTTAAATTCTTTCTGAAGGCTTTCCCACATAACTACACTCAGTTTTGCCCCTTTTGAATTATTTGACGTATAGTTCCTCACTCCTGGGTGAAGAATTCTGGGTGAAAAAACTGATCACATTTATTGACACCTCTGGAATTATACTTTTGTACCTTTTATTAAGTTAAATGAACATTAACATATGAAGAATTTCCAATATTCTAGACATTTATAAGATTACTCCCCATGATTATTTGACAAATAATGAGACTAGTAATAGTCAAATGACAAATAACTACTAGTATAATTATCCCACTTTCAAGTATAATCATAGGTTTTTATCTCCTGTGTGACTTCTCTGATGTTTAATGAGAGTTGACTTCCCACTGAATGCTTTCCCACAGTCTCTGCATTCATAAGGTTTCTCTCCTGTATGAGTTCTGTGATGCACGATGAGAGTTGATTTCACACTGAAGGCCTTCCCACATTCACTACATTTGTAAGGTTTTTCTCCTGTATGAATTCTCTGATGTTTAATGAGAGTTGACTTCCTACTGAAGGCTTTTTTACAGTCAGTGCATTCATAGGGTCTCTCTCCTGTATGAATTCTCTGATGTTTAATCAGTGGTGACTTCTCACTAAAGGCTTTCCCACATTCGTTGCATTTATAGGGTTTCTCTCCTGTATGCATTCTCTGATGTACAATAAGGGTTGACTTCTCCCCAAAGGCTTTCCCACATCTTCTGCATTCATAAGGTTTCTCTCCTGTATGAGTTCTATGATGGACAGAGAGGTGTGACTTTCCACTGAAAGTCTTCCCACATATATTACATTCATAGGGTTTCTCTCCTGTATGAATTCTCTGATGAACAGAGAGGTGTGACTTTCCTCTGAAGCTTTTCCCACATTTACTACACTCATAAATGTTCTCTTTTGTATGAGTTCTCCAATGTTTAGTGGGACTGGGCTTCTTATCAGAGGCTTTCCCATGTTCACTGCGCTCAGGTTTCTTACTTGTGTGAATCCTTTGATATATAAGGTTGGACTTAGTACATCTAATACCTTTATAAAATGCTTGTCTAATGTGTGTTTTTTCATGTCTAATAAGATGATATGAACTCTTAAAGGCTTTTGGACATTTGCCACATACAAATGGTTTCTCTCCTGTATGAGTTCGTTGATGTTTAATCAGAGTTGACTTTTGGATAAAGGTTTTTCCACATTCACTGCATTCATAGGGCTTCTCCCCTGAGTGAATTCTCTGGTGTGCTACGAGGGTTGACTTCTGACTGAAGGCTTTTGCACATTCACAGCATTCATAAGGTTTCTCTCCGGTGTGAGTTCTTTGATGTACAACTAAGTTTGCTTTCTGGATAAACACTTTTTCACATTCAGTACATTTGTAGAGCTTCTCCCCGGTTTGACTTCTCTGATTTTTATTAAGGGCTCGCTTTTGGTGGAGGGCTTTCCCTCGTTGATTAGGGTCAAAAAATTTATCTGCAGGTTGAGCTTTATGAAGATTAGAATGGAGGCATACTTTCAAATATGCCTTACATCCATCATCTTTCTTTCTTATATAGCTTCTATTTTGACTAAGAAAGTTTAAATTATGTTTTGAACACCTTTCCCATGAGTAATACTTAGGGAGTCTTTGTTTCACAGAAACAAAGTCTGTGTTGAGATAAACGATTTTTCTACATATTTTACATTCTTGACCACTTTCATCCTTCAGTGTTTCCTTGACTGTGAATGCAGCTTGCCACAGAAGTTTGTCTTGGCTTTCCTTGTAGTGATCTGTCTGCTCGTCAATTTGCCAGACTTCTAGAAGAAAATGCAATGAATCATCAAACTTGTCTTCCCACTATAATTTATTAAATAACTTTAATCCCTAAATGCCCAAGCAGTGAACTCCTATCAACATGACTTGAGCTGATGTGGATAGAGGACTCTCCCCATGTCCCAGGCTCAAAATCAAGAAAAGAAATGTATTAGGTATCAAAATGAAGTGGGAATTTAAAGTGAGAGGGTAAACAGAGCAGCTTGAGGATTTGAAGGGGACCATAGGGCACAAATGTTCAGGAATTCAGGAAAGTCAGAGTGTAATTTTGGCTTAAAGCTTATATATATACACATATAATTGTATGTATATATGTGTGTGTGTGTATATATATATGAAAGGTTGCCATTGCTATGAACCTACATATAACAAGACCAACTTTTGAAATGTTTCAGTTTATAGGCTCTGTACTATGCTTGTAATCATTTGGATTGAGTTACAGAATTAGGCTTTTGATGTCTTACATATAACATTCTTCTTGCCAATTTCTCTGGCTAGTGGGGAATGTTTCTAGTTCCTGTTTAACAAGGATAGGAGCCCTTGTAGTTATATACACACACACTCATGTCTTTATAGCTGAGGACATCACAGAACTTCTAGGGAAAACCAACTCTCACTGAGGAGTTCACAGTAGAAAATTTAAAACCTTAGAAGGAACTGATCCATCATTAGAAAGGATTGACCGATATATTTAAATATACTCCCATTCCTAGAACTGTAGATAATAGAACAATCTGCGCTTTAAAATAAGTGTATTTCAAATGTACAAAGATAAGGTAAGAACCAGACTATGAAGGAAATAGCAGGAAATTTTGAAAAAAGACAGACGAGTATTTTTAAGGTAGGCATTATTAAAAAAAAACTCTAAATAGGTTGAACAGTAGACTAGCCACAGATAAGACAGATTTAATAAATTAGATGACAGATCTTGGGAAATCACTTAGTCTCTAATAGGCTTCCTCTGGCATAAACATCACACATGTTGATTATCTTTGATACTGGAGTTAGAGTGTGCTCTGTATTCGTGACAGGCAGACAGCATAAGGAAGCCTGCACATGGATGCCTCCAGATTCTGCCTGTACCTTTTTCCTTTATAATCCAGTTGTTTATCATTACCACATCACTGTAATAAATCTTACCCATGATTACAACTATATGGTGAGTCCCATGAGTTTCTCTAGAGAATATCTGAGTATGGGAGCAGTCTTGGGGACCCCTGACCTAGGCAGTGGTGGTATTTGAAGAGACAATGACTGATTCTTTTCTAAAATGGAAGAAAGGCACGTATCCTACCACTGAATGTCCAAAGTCCTTGAGTGTGGTAAATAAACAAGTCTGCACTTAGACAAAGTTCAGTGCAGCCACAAGGCTTTCAAGTCAGAAAGAAAATATTGTAAGCTACCATGAATAAATAAAAATATCCCCTATAAAGAAATAATTATATCAGCATCAGACTTCTTCAAAAAAGAAGCTAGAAGATTGAAGAATAATATCTTCACTGTCCTGAGACAAACTTTCATCTTAGAACTCTATACCCAGATAAATTACCATAAAGAAAGATGACAAGGACATTTTTGGACAAGAAAAGACAAAGAATTTGCCATACACAAAACCTGGCTAAGAATAATGCCTGATACTTCAGTTATTCAGAAGGATAATGACTAAAGAGGAAAAAGGGGGTAAAGAAAATCCTGCAAAGGCAAGAAAAGAGAAGTAATGAAAAGCAGGCTATGTAGAAAATATACTAAAAGAAGAAATACAAACATAGTAATTTCACAATAAATATATATTAACTCTATTAGTTAAATGCCAGTCATATCAAATTGCATTTTTAAAAAATCAGCTCCATGTTTTCAAAAGACAATTAGGGCAAAATGAGAGAGAAATGTTGAAAATACAATTATGGGAAAAGCTACACCTGGCACTTAGTAACCAAAATAAAATTGGCAAGACAATGCTTATATGACCTTGATGCCAAAAGCAAAGAAGGATAAAATACGAGAATATTATAAAGCAATTTTCACTTACATAGATGTGAAACTCTTAAATATACATGGCAAATTGATTCCACTTATGATGGATAAGAGGTAATACATTTAGTATTATTGAAAATATACAGCCTGGGCAACATAGCAAAACCCATCTCCACAAAAAAAAAAAAAAAAAATTAGCTGGGTGTGGTGGCGCACACCTATAGTCCCAGCTACTTAGGGGACTGAGGCAAGAGGATTGCTTGAGCCCAGGAGGTCAAGGTCGCAGTGAGCCATGTACCCAACACTGCACTCTAGCCTGGTTGACAAAGTAAGACCCTGTCTCAAAAAAAAAAAAAAAAATACACACATGTGCACACATACACATACATACACACACACACACGCCTTACTACCTATTCCACTTGTAGTCATACCATAGAGAAATTACTGCAAATTTTAACATGTACAAGAATGACAACGAAATATTAGAAACCACCAAACATTCACCAATAAAGGTATGGAAAATGAACTATGACACTCATGTTGGAATGCTAGCAGAGCAGTTAAAATAAATGATCTAAATCTAAAGTATCAGCACAAAGCTCAAAAGGTAATACTGAACACAGAAAGCAAGTTGCAGAAAGATCCCTATAATTTTTTTTTTTTTTTTGAAACGGAGTCTTGCTGTGTCGCCCAGGCTAAAGTACAGTAGCGCAATCTTGGCTCACTGCAACCTCTGCCTTCTGGGTTCAAGCAATTCTCCTGCCTCAACCTCCTGAGTATCTGGGATTACAGGCACCCACTACCACGCCTGGCTAATTTTTGTATTTTTAGTAGAGACGGGGTTTCACCATATTGGCCAGGCTGGTCTCAAACACCTGACCTCAGGTGATGCACCCGACTTGGCAGATCCCAAAGTGCTGGCATTACAGGCGTGAGCCACCGCGCCTGGCCAAGATCCCTATAATTTGAGTGTACCAATCTGGTAATGTTACAAAAAGAATTCTATACTGATTACAGGTACAAATATACATAGCAAAAGTATAAAAACATAGATTAGAAGGATACTCACAAAATTCATGATACTGTTTACCTGGGGAGAGATAGAAGGAATAGGCCTCAGGAGGGGAAAAATGGGACTTCAACTTTATTTGTAAACCTCTGTTTCTTTTCTTTTCATTTTTAAAATTTTATTTATTTATTTATTTTGAGATGGAGTCTCCCTCTGTCGCCTAGGCTGGAGTGCAGTGGCGGAATCTTGGCTCACTGCAACCTCCGCCTCCCGAGTTCAAGCAAGTCTCCTACCTCAGCCTCCTGAGTAGCTGGGATTACAGGCGCGCGCCACCACGCCTGGCTAATTTTTGTATTTTTAGTAGAGACGGGGTTTCACTGTTTTGGTCAGGCTTGTCTCGAACTCCTGACCTCGCGTGCAGGGATTACAGGCGTGAGCCACCGTGCCTGGCCTGTTTCTTTTATTTTTAAAAAAATGACAAAATGTTAACAGTTGCTAATTCTGGGAAGGAAGTACAAGGGTATCTGTTATAATTACGATTTCCTGTACTTTTTTTCAGTTTTAAAAGAAAGGCTTTTAGGGTAGACTTCTGAAATGACAGAGTGAGAGGAAGGACCTCAGTAAATCCTCTCCCCCACAAAAGTAATGATAATACTGGCAAAATCAAAATTATAAAAACCAATCATTTCACGACTTTAGAAATTAACCAAAGGCAAGCAATCAATTAAAAATAATTTATTCGAGAAAAAACAGGCCTGACGCGGTGGCTCACACCTGTAATCCCAGCACTTTGGGAGGCCGAGGCGGGTGTATCACCTGAGGTCACGAGTTCAGGACCAGCCTGGCCAACATGGTGAAACCCTGTCTCTACTAAAAATACAAAAATTAGCCAGGCATGATGGCAGGTACCTGTAATCCCAGCTACTCAGGAGGCTAAGGCAGGAAAACCGCTTGAACCTGGGACGCAGAGGTTGCAGTGATCTGAGATTGTGCCATGGCACTCTAACCTGGGCTAGAAGAGCAAAACTCTGTCACACACACACACACACACACACACACACACACACACACAGAGAGAGAGAGAGAAAAAAAAAAACTAGTAAACCTTACTAAGAACAGCCAGGTCATGGTTCACTTGGCACTACTACTACTCTTCCTACTCCCCCACTGGCTCCCCAGCTCCATGAAAACTGTTAGCCTCACAGCTACCCAAGGGGATGACCTGTTTTGGAGCTCTACCAAAAGCCCTATCCCCAGACTGCTTTTGCTATTTGATCTAACTTAAAGTTCAGCTCCAAGAAAATAAAGGACACTATGGTAACTCAAATCCACACAAAGAAATAAAGAGCACCAGTAAAGGTAACCTGTAGGAAAGTGTTAACACAGCAGAACTAATCTTTAGAAGGGCCTGCTCACAGGGCTGGCTCCTGGCTAGAGTCTGGGAACTTGGCTTGTGGAATATTCCCTATGTTGATATGATGGCTTTGCCTACCTAGGGCGCTGAACACCTGTTTTTCTTCTGGGAGTCTGGATGCCTGAACATGAGAGGCCGATGATTTTCTTGTATGATGTGCCTATTTTTAGTGGGTCAAACTGAACTTGCCCACAGACAAAGTGAAAGGGGCTTAACATAAAAGTCCTAGCTTGCCACTTGGATGTGCAATGCAGTTGTCTGGCCCTGTAGCATCTTGGCTTTGCATGGGGGCGGGGGGGAGAACTATCCCTGTGGGGATTTATTTCCTACCAGGCACCCAGAAATACTGGTGGCAGTGATCCCGTGTAGGGATATGCCAGAGCACTTGAGATAAAGGAGGTGAAATCTTATAAGCTGAAACAGAGAAAAAAATGATATCAAGTATCAATAATCAGAATAGCTTTACACTGAAAATGAGATGGCAATGGAGCAATGCCTTCAAAAGTCTAAGGGAAAGATATTTCCATCCTAGAACTCTACTCCAAGCCAAACTCTCCGTCAGGAGTCAAGCATTTGTAGACATC